TTAAACATCACTGTAAATGCACTGGGATACATTTAACTATGATGACATAAGTTAATGTTTCCAGCGATTATGGAGTCCCTGTCACGTTTAACAGCTGAAACAACGATTCACCTTATGTATAACATGGGCTTTATAAATTATAATCATGATAAAAATGAAAAAGCCGTGATTTAAGCAAAAGATATTTAACACGTTGTAAAGGGAAACTTATTTCGGTTAATGATTGATCTAGTTTTTTCTTGACATATTAATGAGACTTGTTGGGCTTGAGCTTGACTGACGCATAATACAAATGATAGTTTGATTTGTTTTAATATCAGTCACGAAGACGATAAAGTTCCAAGCTTTTGTAGTGCAAAACGATGTATTTGTAAAAACATCTATATTGTCTATTGCAATCTAGCGGAAGTATCTTGCTGGAAGCCGTGTCTCAGAAATTGCTTCAGAAAAGTAGGGGACACTAACATCAAAGGTTCCGACACTTGTGGACCTTCTGTGAAGATATCTATACTGTGGCTATAGGGTTAATTTAACGCCAGTCACGTCGTGTATAGGAGTAACAAAATTTAATAAAAATAATAGTTGATCTACATCTCAGAATCGGTTTCTATTATTGTTGCAGTGGGATATGTTGTGACTTGTCATTAAAAATGATCACATTACATTTTTTGTTTTATCTCTCTCAAATTATTTACTTTTTACTCCTACAATGCAAACATTTTTGTGTTCATTCACTGGAAATATAAATGAGCGAAGTTAAGGCCCGTTTCAAGCGTCGCAATTTACATGCGCTGAGTGCATTGAAAACAAAAGAAAATGAGATAAAATTCTTCATTTTTGTTTCAAATGCGTTCGGCTCATGTAAAATGCTACGTTTGAAACAGGCCTAATTCTCTAAAAAAGCTATGATGTGAAAATTCGAAATGTTTAACAAAAAATATTTGAAAGTAGAGATGACGAAATGCACGAAATATTACTTTTTTGCAAAAGCTGTGAAACTATAGAGAACATAAGTTAAGTATTAAGTTGAATTATTGAAATAATAAATAACTTTAAATCACATTTAATTAATATTTTGATATTATTCACTACACACTGTTTCAGGCCTAACGAGGACGTTCAGAAGCACATTTACTCCTGTGTATTTTGTAATTCACGTTTTGGGACTCAAAGAAAGACTGTGCCGTGTCATGTTAATATTGTCTTTGTCGTAGGCATTTCCATAAACTTGTGTAACTGTTCGTTAAATTCAAATAAAACTTTGAATGAATTCAGCTGACGGCCTTGCAGCTAACGAACACGTTCTTTGAGAAATGGTTTGGGCACAAAATCATCCAGGGCTAAACCTTATGTACGGAGTAACTACTCCTCACTTCTTTGTTTTGTATAAGTAAACACACACATTATGTTGAATAACAGATGTCGCTTCTCGTTGTTTCAGTTAGTACAAAAGTGTTTTGTACATTGTTTCTTGGATTGCAAGGTTTTTACCCTGCACGACGTGAATATGGAATTAAAGCACGATTAATGCAAAAACTTGCAACAAATTGGGGAAAAATTAATGAAAGGTGATAAAAAACAATGAAAATTTGCAAGAATGAAGCTACGTATGCTAAACATGGCTTTACATTCTTAGATAATAAAGACAGACAATGATGGAAAGAAAAACAACAAAGATCATTACTTGGAAAAAATCGCCAGGCGTCTGCCTAGATGATCTTTATCAACTAACTGCATGTAGACAGGACAACTTAATATTATAAAGAAGTGAACAAAGTTCAATAACGCCTCATCACGCGCATTTGTACCAACTCAGAATTCTGATCTTTTTACCTAATCAATTGCAATATTTATCAGCAAATACATCAAATGCCGAGATGTCGATATTGTTTCATTATTTTTTTCGGGATCAAGACTTGATAATAGAATTTCCTCACAGAATTTTATTGTTTATTTCTTTATAAGTAATTGTAGTATAAATTGCTTTTGCTGTGTGTCAAGTGTAGGAATAAATTGAAAATATAAAAAATAATACACAACTTTGACACACATTAACATTCAGTGACGTTGGAAACTTCTGGCTCAACACATTTTTTCTGTATAAAGTACAACTGATTGACTTCTGATTGCGTATGGTTGTATTCATTGTCGACGTTTTCACAGTTGGAATAAATTTCATTTTCAAACGACATTTGAATATCATTCTCTTCTTTTGAAGACTTCTCATTCGTTCCCTGGCGCCACCGTCGTCGTCGTCGAATAATAAACATAACAAGCAGTATTATAGCCACAAACAAAACAAATGCAATTATAGCATAAGCCAAGTTTGGGAAAGAGAGAAAATTCTTTGCATTCAACGATTTTCCTAAAATTTAACAACGTCATTGCCCAATGAATGGGAGAGTTACACCTAACGATGTCGTAGTGCAAAGAATACATTAAAAAGCTGTTTTAATTATGTTTGAATTCAGTCAATTTTTAAGGAATACAGTTACCCTGCTTTAACTCAACATTATCGTGGGAATATGGCGTAGCTATGTAAAGTTGAAATTTACTACTATACCTTTTGATCTTCCCACTTGCAAAGAAATGACTTCTACAAGCACAAAGAAGAGTAAGAATTACAATGCATTGTACTGGAAAAATACAAAAATTAACTGGAAATCAAAATTGCTTTAAATTAAATTGTCTGATATATCCGCGATCTACCTGTACAGCGGTCATCTCTTTTTTCGTATCCCTCTTTACATTTGCATTTATATGCTCCAGCAGTGTTCAAACAGTCACTATTTAGCCCACAAACTGCCTCCGAAACGCATTCGTTAATATCTATTTAATGAAAGCAAGTTTACAATAAAGCACAATAGCTTTGTAAAATATTCTGTTTAGTCACTGTGAAAACAATATATTTATAAAGAATTGAAGAACAATACAATGGTCTAATTACAAAAAGCAGAACCAACAAACTGAAAGGCTGGTTGCGCTTTGCACTAGATTGTCTGATGTACCCGCAATCTACCTGTACAGCGGTCATCTCTTTTTTCGTATCCCTCTTTACATTTGCATTCATATGCTCCAGCAGTGTTCAAACAGTCACTATTTAACCCACAATCTGCCTCCAAAAGACATTCATTAATATCTATGTAATGAAAGAAGTTTACAATAAAGCATATCGTGCTCTGTAAAATATTCTGTTCAGTCACTGTGAAAACAATATATTTGTAACGAATTGAAGAACAATATAATGGTCTGAATTAAAAAAAAGGAGAACCAATAAGCTTGCAGACTGGCTGCGCTACTTTTTGTCATAATTATTTTGCAAAATAAAGTCTTCAACCCATCCCACCCCTTATTAGTATGACATCAATCTACAGTCAATTGATTTGATTAAAATAAATTTAACAAATCCTGTATTTTTGGATATAAATGCATATTGCACATACCTTTACAAGATACACCATCTTTAATAAAACCTTCACTACAAACACACACATATGATCCAGGTTGGTTAACACAGTCTGCATTGTGACATGGTTTGTTGGTACATTCATCTATATCTATGGATATTAGAGACAAACGTGACTGATACATTCATCTATATCTATGGATATTAGAGACAAGCGTGACTGATACATTCATCTATATCTATGGATATTAGAGACAAGCGTGACTGATACATTCATCTATATCTATGGATATTAGAGACAAGCGTGACTGATACATTCATCTATATCTATGGATATTAGAGACAAGCGTGACTGATACATTCATCTATATCTATGGATATTAGAGACAAGCGTGACTGATACATTCATCTATATCTATGGATATTAGAGACAAGCGTGACTGATACATTCATTTATATCTATGGATATTAGAGACAAGCGTGACTGATACATTCATCTATATCTATGGATATTAGAGACAAGCGTGACTGATACATTCATCTATATCTATGGATATTAGAGACAAGCGTGACTGATACATTCATCTATATCTATGGATATTAGAGACAAGCGTGACTGATACATTCATCTATATCTATGGATATTACAGACATGCGTGACTGATACATTCATCTATATCTATGGATATTAGAGACAAGCGTGACTGATACATTCATCTATATCTATGGATATTAGAGACAAGCGTGACTGATACATTCATCTATATCTATGGATATTAGAGACAAGCGTGACTGATACATTCATCTATATCTATGGATATTAGAGACAAGCGTGACTGATACATTCATCTATATCTATGGATATTACAGACATGCGTGACTGATACATTCATCTATATCTATGGATATTAGAGACAGACGTGACTGATACATTCATCTATATCTATGGATATTAGAGACAAACGTGACTGATACATTCATCTATATCTATGGATACTAGAGATGATAGCAAATAACAAATTATAATACGAAATGACAGTCAAACGTATGTGATAATATTGTCAAGCTATGATAAGCTTCATCATACTTGCCTAAATGGCTTTATGCATATCTCGTATGACCAAAAGTAAAGGCTGATTTCAAGCCAGGCAAATTCTCGCGCGATCGACTTCTTGCAATCACTGTCTTTTCATATGTGTGTGTGCAGCAATGTTAAACTGTTCCAGTTAAGAGTTTACAATCGAAAAAAAAGTGATTTCGAAAAGTCAATCGTGCGGAAATTCGCACTGAATGGAAATCGGCCTTTATAAAGCAAAGAGCGATAATCATTTGTGTTCTGTAAACTTAGATTTACTTTTCAATGAAACAAACAACTACTAAGTTACACTCAAAAGATATAACTTTCATATATATTGCTCAGTCAGAAATGCTGGTTAAACAACTTTCAGCAAAACATTACTTCTAAATCATTTTTACTCATTCATTGGTCGTCCAGTTTAACAAACTGAACTGCACAAGCACTTCAAATCCCAGAACAGTCATTTTAACCAGTGCTTATAAAAAGTACTGCAAAACTGTTGATTATAAAGCCAACCTTCACAAAAAGTTCCATTTCCAGAAAAACCAACATAACAATTACATAAGTAAGATCCATTTGTATTAACACAGATTGAGTTTTGATGACAATTGTCGATAGAAAGAGAACATTCATCAATATCTATAACAAAAAATACATGTATTTGTGATTCGCATGTAATTCAATTGACTAATTTCAAAATCATACTTTACAAGACAGACCTTCACAAAAAGTTCCATTTCCAGGATAACCAGCGTTGCAATTACATAAATAAGATCCATTTGTATTAACACAGAATGAGTCTTGATGACAATTGTCAATAGAAACTGAACATTCGTCAATATCTATAACAAAAAAGACATGTATTTGCGATTCGTATGTAATTCAATTGACTAATTTCAAAATCATACTTTAGAAGACTGACCTTCACAAAAAGTTCCATTTCCAGAATAACCAGCGTTACAATTACATAAATAAGATCCATTTGAGTTAACACAGGTTGAGTTTTGATGACAATTGTCGATAGAAAGAGAACATTCGTCAATATCTATAATAAAAAATACATATAATTGCGATTCGTATGTAATTCAATTGACTAATTTCAAAATCATACTTTACAAGACTGACCTTCACAAAAAGTTCCATTTCCAGAATAACCAACGTTGCAATTACATAAATAAGATCCGTTTGTATTAACACAGATTGAGTTTTGATGACAATTGTCGATAGAAAGAGAACATTCGTCAATATCTATCACAAAAAATACATATATTTGCGATTCGTATGTAATTCAATTGACCAACTTCAAAATCATACTTTACAAGACTGACCTTCACAAAAAGTTCCATTTCCAGAATAACCAGCGTTACAATTACATAAATAAGATCCATTTGAGTTAACACAGATTAAGTTTTGATGACAATTGTTGATAAAAAGAGAACATTCGTCAATATCTATAACAAAAAATACATATATTTGCGATTCATATGTAATTCAATTGACTAATTTCAAAATCATACTTTACAAGACAGACCTTACAAAAGTTCCATTTCCAGAATAACCAGCGTTACAATTACATAAGTAAGATCCATTTGTATTAACACAGATTGAGTTTTGATGACAGTTGTCGATGGAAAGAGAACATTCATCAATATCTATCACAAAAAATACATAAATTTGCGATTCGTATCTAATTCAATTGACTAATTTCAAAATCATACTTTACAAGACTGACCTTCACAAAAAGTTCCACTTCCAGAATAACCAACGTTACAATTACAAATATAAGATCCATTTGTGTTAACACAGATTGAGTTCTGATGACAATTGTGGATAGGCAGAGAACATTCATCAATATCTAAGAATTATTCGCACATTTGAGTAAAATTTCTTTGTTAAAATTCAAAACACAGTTTTCAAATCCAACCTTTACAAAATGTCCCATTTCCAGAATAACCAGCGTTGCAATTACATAAATAAGATCCATTTGTATCAACACAGGTTGAGTTTTGATGACAATTGTCGATAAAAAGAGAACATTCATCAATATCTATCACAAAAAATACATATATTTGCGATTCGTATGTAATTCAATTGACTAATTTGAAAATCATACTTTACAAGACTGACCTTCACAAAAAGATCCATTTCCAGAATAACCAATATTGCAATTACATAAATAAGATCCATTTGTATTAAAACAGATTGAGTTTTGATCACAATTGTCGATAGAAAGAGAACACTCACCAATATCTATAACAAAAAATACATATAATTGCGATTCGTATGTAATTCAATTGACTAATTTCAAAATCATACTTTATAAGACTGACCTTCACAAAAAGTTCCATTTCCAGAATAACCAACGTTGCAATTACATAAATAAGATCCATTTGTATTAACACAGATTGAGTTTTGATGACAATTGTGGATAGAAAGAGAACACTCATCAATATCTAAGAATTATTCGCACATTTGAGTAAAATTTCTTTGTTAAAAATCAAAACACAGTTTTCAAATCCAACCTTCACAAAAAGTCCCATTTCCAGAATAACCAGCGTTGCAATTACATAAATAAGATCCATTTGTATTAACACAGATTGAGTTTTGATGACAATTGTCAATAGAAAGAGAACATTCGTCAATATCTATAACAAAAAATACGTATATTTGCAATTTGTATGTAATTCAATTGACTAGTTTCAAGATCATACTTTATAAGACTGACCTTCACAAAAAGATCCATTTCCAGAATAACCAACGTTAAAATTACATAAATAAGATCCATTTGTATTAACACAGATTGAGTTTTGATGACAATTGTCGATAGACAGAGAACATTCATCAATATCTAAGAATTATTCGCACATTTGAGTAAAATTTCTTTGTTAAAATTCAAAACACAGTTTTCAAATCCAACCTTTACAAAATCTCCCATTTCCAGAATAACCAGCGTTGCAATTACATAAATAAGATCCATTTGTATTAACACAGATTGAGTTTTGATAACAATTGTCGATAAAAAGAGAACATTCATCAATATCTAAGAGTTATTCGCACATTTGAGTAAAATTTCTTTGTTAAAATTCAAAACACAGTTTTCAAATCCAACCTTTACAAAATGTCCCATTTCCAGAATAACCAACGTTGCAATTACATGAATAAGATCCATTTGTATTAACACAGGTTGAGTTTTGATGACAATTGTCAATAGAAAGAAAACATTCGTCAATATCTATAACAAAAAATACGTATATTTGCAATTCGTATGTAATTCAATTGACTAATTTCAAAATCATACTTTACAAGACTGACCTTCACAAAAAGTTCCATTTCCAGAATAACCAACGTTGCAATTACATAAATAAGATCCGTTTCTGTTAACACAGGTTGAGTTTTGATGACAATTGTCGATAGAAAGAGAACATTCGTCAATATCTATCACAAAAATACGTATATTTGCAATTTGTATGTAATTCAATTGATTAATTTGAAAATCATACTTTACAAGACTGACCTTCACAAAAAGTTCCATTTCCAGAATAACCAACGTTGCAATTACATAAATAAGATCCGTTTGTATTAACACAGGTTGAGTTTTGATGACAATTGTCGATAGAAAGAGAACATTCGTCAATATCTATCACAAAAAATACGTATATTTGCAATTTGTATGTAATTCAATTGACTAATTTCAAAATCATACTTTACAAGACTGACCTTCACAGAAAGTTCCATTTCCAGAATAACCAACGTTGCAATTACATAAATAAGATCCATTTGTATTAACACAGATTGAGTTTTGATGACAATTGTTGATAGAAAGAGAACATTCATCAATATCTATGACAAAAAATACGTATAATTGTGATTCGTATGTAATTCATTTGACTTATTTCAAAATCATACTTTACAAGACTGACCTTCACAAAAAGATCCATTTCCAGAATAACCAGCGTTACAATTACATAAATGAGATCCATTTGAGTTAACACAGGTTGAGTTTTGATGACAATTGTCGATAGAAAGAGAACATTCGTCAATATCTATAATAAAAAATACATATAATTGCGATTCGTATGTAATTCAATTGACTAATTTCAAAATCATACTTTACAAGACTGACCTTCACAAAAAGATCCATTTCCAGAATATCCAACATTGCAATTACATAAATAAGATCCATTTGTATTAACACAGATTGAGTTTTGATCACAATTGTCGATAGAAAGAGAACACTCATCAATATCTATAACAAAAAGTACATATAATTGCAATTCGTATGTAATTCAATTGACTAATTTCAAAATCATACTTTATAAGACTGACCTTCACAAAAAGTTCCATTTCCAGAATAACCAAAGTTGCAATTACATAAATAAGATCCATTTGTATTAACACAGATTGAGTTTTGATGACAATTGTGGATAGAAAGAGAACACTCATCAATATCTAAGAATTATTCGCACATTTGAGTAAAATTTCTTTGTTAAAATTCAAAACACAGTTTTCAAATCCAACCTTCACAAAAAGTCCCATTTCCAGAATAACCAGCGTTGCAATTACATAAATAAGATCCATTTGTATTAACACAGAATGAGTTTTGATGACAATTGTCAATAGAAAGAGAACATTCGTCAATATCTATAACAAAAAATACGTATATTTGCAATTTGTATGTAATTCAATTGACTAATTTCAAGATCATACTTTATAAGACTGACCTTCACAAAAAGATCCATTTCCAGAATAACCAACGTTACAATTACATAAATAAGATCCATTTGTATTAACACAGATTGAGTTTTGATGACAATTGTCGATAGACAGAGAACATTCATCAATATCTAAGAATTATTCGCACATTTGAGTAAAATTTCTTTGTTAAAATTCAAAACACAGTTTTCATATCCAACCTTTACAAAATGTCCCATTTCCAGAATAACCAGCGTTGCAATTACATAAATAAGATCCATTTGTATTAACACAGATTGAGTTTTGATGACAATTGTCGATAAAAAGAGAACATTCATCAATATCTAAGAATTATTCGCACATTTGAGTAAAATTTCTTTGTTAAAATTCAAAACACAGTTTTCAAATCCAACCTTTACAAAATGTCCCATTTCCAGAATAACCAACGTTGCAATTACATAAATAAGATCCATTTGTATTAACACAGGTTGAGTTTTGATGACAATTGTCAATAGAAAGAAAACATTCGTCAATATCTATAACAAAAAATACGTATATTTGCATTCGTATGTAATTCAATTGACTAATTTCAAAATCATACTTTAAAAGACTGACCTTCACAAAAAGTTCCATTTCCAGAATAACCAACGTTACAATTACATAAATAAGATCCGTTTCTGTTAACACAGGTTGAGTTTTGATGACAATTGTCGATAGAAAGAGAACATTCGTCAATATCTATCACAAAAATACGTATATTTGCAATTTGTATGTAATTCAATTGATTAATTTGAAAATCATACTTTACAAGACTGACCTTCACAAAAAGTTCCATTTCCAGAATAACCAACGTTGCAATTACATAAATAAGATCCGTTTGTATTAACACAGGTTGAGTTTTGATGACAATTGTCGATAGAAAGAGAACATTCGTCAATATCTATCACAAAAAATACGTATATTTGCAATTTGTATGTAATTCAATTGACTAATTTCAAAATCATACTTTACAAGACTGACCTTCACAAAAAGTTCCATTTCCAGAATAACCAACGTTGCAATTACATAAATAAGATCCATTTGTATTAACACAGATTGAGTTTTGATGACAATTGTCAATAGAAAGAGAACATTCATCAATATCTATCACAAAAAATACATATATTTGCGATTCGTATGTAATTCAATTGACTAATTTGAAAATCATACTTTACAAGACTGACCTTCACAAAAAGTTCCATTTCCAGAATAACCAACGTTACAATTACATAAATAAGATCCATTTGTATTAACACAGATTGAGTTTTGATGACAATTTTCAAAAGAACGAGAACATTCATCAATATCTATAACAAAAATACATATATTTAGGATTCGTATGTAAATCAATTGACTAATTTGAAAATCATACTTTACATGACTGACCTTCACAAAAAGTTCCATTTCCAGAATAACCAACGTTGCAATTACATAAATAAGATCCGTTTCTGTTAACACAGGTTGAGTTTTGATGACAATTGTCGATAGAAAGAGAACATTCATCAATATCTATCACAAAAATACATATATTTGCGATTCGTATGTAATTTAATTGACTAATTTCAAAATCATACTTTACAAGACAGACCTTTACAAAAAGTTCCATTTCCAGAATAACCAGCGTTACAATTACATAAATAAGATCCGTTTGTATTAACACAGATTGAGTTTTGATGACAGTTGTCGAAGGAAAGAGAACATTCATCAATATCTATCACAAAAAATACATATATTTGCGATTCATATGTAATTCAAATGACTAATTTCAAAATCATACTTTACAAGACTGACCTTCACAAAAAGTTCCATTTCCAGAATAACCAACGTTGCAATTACATAAATAAGATCCGTTTGTATTAACACAGATTGAGTTTTGATGACAATTGTCGATAGAAAGAGAACATTCGTCAATATCTATAACAAAAAATACATATATTTGCGAATCGTATGTAATTCAATTGACCAATTTCAAAATCATACTTTACAAGACTGACCTTCACAAAAAGATCCATTTCCAGAATAACCAACGTTGCAATTACATAAATAAGATCCATTTGTATTAACACAGATTGAGTTTTGATGACAATTGTTGATAAAAAGAGAACATTCGTCAATATCTATAACAAAAAATACATATATTTGCGATTCGTATGTAATTCAATTGACTAATTTCAAAATCATACTTTACAAGACAGACCTTTACAAAAAGTTCCATTTCCAGAATAACCAGCGTTACAATTACATAAGTAAGATCCATTTGTATTAACACAGATTGAGTTTTGATGACAGTTGTCGATGGAAAGAGAACATTCATCAATATCTATCACAAAAAATACATATATTTGCGATTCGTATCTAATTCAATTGACTAATTTCAAAATCATACTTTACAAGACTGACCTTCACAAAAAGTTCCACTTCCAGAATAACCAACGTTACAATTACAAGTATAAGATCCATTTGTGTTAACACAGATTGAGTTCTGATGACAATTGTGGATAGGCAGAGAACATTCATCAATATCTAAGAATTATTCGCACATTTGAGTAAAATTTCTTTGTTAAAATTCAAAACACAGTTTTCAAATCCAACCTTTACAAAATGTCCCATTTCCAGAATAACCAGCGTTACAATTACAAGTATAAGATCCATTTGTGTTAACACAGATTGAGTTCTGATGACAATTGTGGATAGGCAGAGAACATTCATCAATATCTAAGAATTATTCGCACATTTGAGTAAAATTTCTTTGTTAAAATTCAAAACACAGTTTTCAAATCCAACCTTTACAAAATGTCCCATTTCCAGAATAACCAGCGTTGCAATTACATAAATAAGATCCATTTGTATTAAAACAGATTGAGTTTTGATCACAATTGTTGATAGAAAGAGAACATTCATCAATATCTATGACAAAAAATACGTATAATTGTGATTCGTATGTAATTCAATTGACTTATTTCAAAATCATACTTTACAAGACTGACCTTCACAAAAAGATCCATTTCCAGAATAACCAGCGTTACAATTACATAAATAAGATCCATTTGAGTTAACACAGGTTGAGTTTTGATGACAATTGTCGATAGAAAGAGAACATTCGTCAATATCTATAACAAAAAATACATATAATTGCGATTCGTATGTAATTCAATTGACTAATTTCAAAATCATACTTTATAAGACTGACCTTCACAAAAAGTTCCATTTCCAGAATAACCAACGTTGCAATTACATAAATAAGATCCATTTGTATTAACACAGATTGAGTTTTGATGACAATTGTGGATAGAAAGAGAACACTCATCAATATCTAAGAATTATTCGCACATTTGAGTAAAATTTCTTTGTTAAAATTCAAAACACAGTTTTCAAACCAACCTTCACAAAAGTCCCATTTCAGAATAACCAGCGTTGCAATTACATAAATAAGATCCATTTGTATTAACACAGATTGAGTTTTGATGACAATTGTCAATAGAAAGAGAACATTCGTCAATATCTATAACAAAAAATACGTATATTTGCAATTTGTATGTAATTCAATTGACTAATTTCAAGATCATACTTTATAAGACTGACCTTCACAAAAAGATCCATTTCCAGAATAACCAACGTTACAATTACATAAATAAGATCCATTTGTATTAACACAGATTGAGTTTTGATGACAATTGTCGATAGACAGAGAACATTCATCAATATCTAAGAGTTATTCGCACATTTGAGTAAAATTTCTTTGTTAAAATTCAAAACACAGTTTTCAAATCCAACCTTTACAAAATGTCCCATTTCCAGAATAACCAGCGTTGCAATTACATAAATAAGATCCATTTGTATTAACACAGATTGAGTTTTGATGACAATTGTCAATAGAAAGAAAACATTCGTCAATATCTACAACAAAAAATACGTATATTTGCAATTCGTATGTAATTCAATTGACTAATTTCAAAATCATACTTTACAAGACTGACCTTCACAAAAAGTTCCATTTCCAGAATAACCAACGTTGCAATTACATAAATAAGATCCGTTTGTATTAACACAGGTTGAGTTTTGATGACAATTGTCGATAGAAAGAGAACATTCGTCAATATCTATCACAAAAAATACGTATATTTGCAATTTGTATGTAATTCAATTGACTAATTTCAAAATCATACTTTACAAGACTGACCTTCACAGAAAGTTCCATTTCCAGAATAACCAACGTTGCAATTACATAAATAAGATCCGTTTCTGTTAACACAGGTTGAGTTTTGATGACAATTGTCGATAGAAAGAGAACATTCATCAATATCTATGACAAAAAATACGTATAATTGTGATTCGTATGTAATTCAATTGACTTATTTCAAAATCATACTTTACAAGACTGACCTTCACAAAAAGATCCATTTCCAGAATAACCAGCGTTACAATTACATAAATAAGATCCATTTGAGTTAACACAGGTTGAGTTTTGATGACAATTGTCGATAGAAAGAGAACATTCGTCAATATCTATAACAAAAAATACATATAATTGCGATTCGTATGTAATTCAATTGACTAGTTTCAAAATCATACTTTAAAAGACTGACCTTCACAAAAAGTTCCATTTCCAGAATAACCAGCGTTACAATTACATAAATAAGATCCATTTGAGTTAACACAGGTTGAGTTTGATGACAATTGTCGATAGAAAGAGAACATTCGTCAATATCTATAATAAAAAATACATATAATTGCGATTCGTATGTAATTCAATTGACTAATTTCAAAATCATACTTTACAAGACTGACCTTCACAAAAAGTTCCATTTCCAGAATAACCAGCGTTACAATTACATAAATAAGATCCATTTGAGTTAACACAGGTTGAGTTTTGATGACAATTGTCGATAGAAAGAGAACATTCGTCAATATCTATAATAAAAAATACATATAATTGCGATTCGTATGTAATTCAATTGACTAATTTCAAAATCATACTTTACAAGACTGACCTTCACAAAAAGTTCCATTTCCAGAATAACCAGCATTGCAATTACATAAGTAAGATCCATTTGTATTAACACAGATTGAGTTTTGATGACAATTGTCAATAGAAAGAGAACATTCATCAATATCTATAACAATAAGTATTTGCGTCTTATATCATTCAATGACCAATTAAAAATCATACTTCTATGACTTTAAACTTTTCATTTTACTTCCATAAAATTAAGTAGAACATCTCGAGTTCCGAGGCTGACATCAAATATTTATATTTCATGCGGTAAGATCAAATTGATGATTTTGAATTCTGTCTCTAAAATCATAGCTTTAAACAACTGTCTTTGTCGATTTCATTCATAAGTTTTCTAGGCCATAATACCCATCTGGTGTGTATGCATTCAAAAAGCACAAACATTCTATCATAATTTACATTTTTGCATTTCTTTGTATGGTAAGTTGAAAATTTTCAATTTTATCTACTTTGTAATCGCTTAAGAGAATTAAAATCGTAGCAAGTGTATTATTCCACCCCGTGGTTATTACTCTATATTTTAAAATATGTCTCTTATTCCTGTATATTTTCTTTTTATGATTATTTCAATAAATAAAGCTAAATTTCATGTTTGAACATGTTTTAAGATAGAGTAATGACTTATGTAAGGATTTCAAACTAAAGTTTTTTCAAAATTATCTATCATTTATAAAATTAATTTTTGTTGACAAAACACCACTCATGATAAAAATTTATGAAAACTCTCACCGTTTTACGTTCAAGTAAGAATTGTTTTGAGAATGCGCAATTTAGAGATGATATACAATTATCAATTCAAAACATTAAAAAAGAATGTCAGTAAGGAAAGGAATTTAAATTGGTTGTGAAAAAAGTTAAAGAAACGGTAGAAATAAAATTGTTTGGCCATCAACTATAAATGTTTAATAACTCAAACCTTTCAAAGACAAATATTCCTGACAATAAACCAACAAAGCATTAAACATGTCAACAATTAAAATACTTAGAGCAACAAATAACAAAGAATATATAAAAGAATTTTTACCTGAGCAAATTCTTCCATTTCCTGAGAAACCAGTACGACAAACACAGGTGAAACTACCAAATGTGTTTATACAGTTGGAGTTACTTCCGCAGTTATGTTGATTTTGCATGCATTCATTAATATCTGTTTAAATAACATAAAATTAATTTAAATATTGAAATTAATCATCGATCACAGTTCCAGTTCATAATCTTTATTGAAATTATCTTGCAGTTTTAAAGATAAATTATGCACCATAAAACCTGAACATTCTACACCAGCATCTTCATGTATAAAAGAATTTTACCTGAGCAAATTCTTCCATTTCCTGAGAAACCAGCACGACAAACACAGGTGAAACTACCAAATGTGTTCCTACAGTTGGAGTTACCCGCAGTTATGTTGATTTTGCAGGCATTCATTAATATCTGTTTAAATAACATGAAATCATTTTAAATATTGAAATTAATCATCGATCACAGTTCCAGTTCATAATCTTTATTGAAATTATCTTGCAATTTTAAAGATAAATTATGCACCATACAAACCTGAACATTCTACACCAGCATCTTCATGTATAAAAGAATTTTTACCTGAGCAAATTCTTCCATTTCCTGAGAAACCAGCACGACAAACACAGGTGAAACTACCAAATGTGTTCCTACAGTTGGAGTTACTTCCGCAGTTATGTTGATTTTGCAGGCATTCATTAATATCTGTTTAAATAACATGAAATCATTTTAAATATTGAAATTAATCATCGATCACAGTTCCAGTTCATAATCTTTATTGAAATTATCTTGAAATTTTAAAGATAAATTATGCACCATACAAACCTGAACATTCTACACCAGCATCTTCAGAATGTGAACAATCATGTGATCCCCATCCATTGTGTGGACAGTTGGCAATATTTCTTTCATTTCCTACACAATGAACATTATCTAACCATATTCTTCCATTGCCATCAGGTACATAATATCCTTGTAAAGCACTGACAGCAGCAAGACCAAGTTGACGACAAACCACTTTAGCATCATTCAAATCCCAGTCATCATCACATACTGTTCCCCATTGTCCATTGTAATAAACTTCAACACGACCTCTACCACTAGAACTTCTTGGTCCTTGAAGTCTAACAGAAATTTGACCTGTTCAAACGATAAAGATTATTGAAATGACATTGACCAGCAAAGGTATGAAGGAGAACAAAGTAGCTTGCCTTGAAAATTGGAAGTTTTGAAACAATGCAGTTGAGAGAGTTTCATTTCATTTTGCACAAAATACGGAAACTATTATTGATGCATTTTTAATACATCGGCTAGACAGTTCATTGCACCTATAATATATAGCAAAAGTTTGTGCGCCGAGCATACATGTTGCAAGCCTGCATGGCATGCTAGAATTGGGAAATAAGGTTGGAGCTTGAAAGCATTGGTTTAACTGAAGTATACTTGAAGAGGCACTTATGAGTGGAGATAAATAGCTGGCTATTTAATAGAAGCAATAGTTGTCATAGAACTTTTGCATTTACCAGTACAATGAAGTATTTAACAAATAGATAACATTTAACCATTGTCTATACAGTTATAGATACACGAGTATGACATCAATTGTGATAAAAACTAAAAAAGTGACCATGAGCTGCCGTCTTAGATAATCAAAATTGTGTACAAGTGATCAATTACACTTTTAAGTTGTGAAATTGCTTATTAGTTGTTGGTAGCTGTATTCCCTAATCATTAAATTATAATATTGAAATCATGATAAATAAATTGAACAGCTTCAAGGAATCATATTTAACATATTAACATAACCAATATATACGTACAAACATAACATAAAGATAAAAAGTGCAAACCAAGTAATAATTGACTGTTTAGTGGTGTATACTTATAAATATACGTACATAAATGCAGGAAGTTAATAACAAATTCAACTAAACATCTAAAATGAACTTTGAATACAAATGGTAAAAGTGCAGTAATTACATGCAAAACTACATAATAATGATAGTACCTATCAAGTATCACTTGTCAATATATAAAGGGGTTTTCGCTGCAATTCCAGCATCCAGCTTACATTGAAATCTCCATACTAATTGGCTTGTGTTGTGTTCCCCAGTCACCACTATCTTTTGATGTATGTAAAATAGTCATATATAATGGTCATCTATTGTTTAATTATGACGCCCCATTAATGTGACGCCCTAACAACTTATCGACAAGGGCCTATTTTTGTTCTGAGAACGACGAAGAGTTATGTGCGCAATGTAAAATTACTTTTATTGAATCTGAGGTCTGTGTAGATAATCATGCAATACAACACTGTACTCTGGGATCATTAATATTCTGTATTTGGATTCAAATTTCAGTTAAAAATTCTTCATCTTATTAGAATAAGGTAGTAAAACAAAATAAAACAAATTCCGAAAACAGACATCTCGTTTTCTTGATATTCAAGATGATACAAGAGTTTTAGACAACAGATTGTGTAATATTTCGTCTTTATCCCAAAGACATCATCAGGGGTCAGTTGAGCGAAGCCTGGATAGCGTTATCCACTGGATAGCAAACTTTTTTGAACGTTCATAAAATCTCTTATAGGAGAAAAGTATACGATTTGAACTGTGCAATCAACGAAACAAACATTGTTTCGAAGATTACAAAATTTCTTTGTCGTAAGAAGAATATAAACACCTTTTTAACAAGTTTGAAAAGTTTTGCTATCCAATGGATAACGCTATCCAGGCTTCGTGCAACCGGTCCCAGACTAATAGTTTAAAATGCACACATTGATCACAGTTCCAGTTAAAATGATCACTTCCAGTTAAAATGCTCACACTTCCAGTTAATCATCTTTATTGAAATTATCTTGAAATTTTAAAGATAAATTATGCACCATACAAACCTAAACATTGTACACCAGCATCTTCATCATGTCCACAATTGTGTGATCCCCATCCATTGTGTCGACAATTGGCAATATTTCTTTCATTTCCTACACAACGAACATCATCTAACCATATTCGTCCACTGCCATCAGGTACATAACTTCCTTGGAAAGCTCTAGTAGCAGCAGCAAAACCAAGTTGACGACAAATCACCTTTGCATCATTCAAATCCCAGTAATCATCACAAACTGTTCCCCATTCTCCATTGTAATAAACTTCAACACGACCTCTACCACTAGAACTTCTTGGTCCTTGAAGTCTAACAGAATATTGACCTGTTCAAAAAATAAAGATTGTTGAAATGATGTTGAGCAGCAAATGTATGACGGATAACAAAGTAGTTTGTCTTGAAAATTGAAACAATGTAGTTGGGAGAATTTCATTGTGCAGAAAATACAGAAAGCCAAATTACTTTCAACAGAAGTCAAGCACAACAGAATATATGTATATACACCTCCATATTAGCGTTCTAGCCACGGCCCTGAACTGTATCTTATGGTTTATTGTACTAGCCAATGACCAAAAATCAGTTAAAGAATACATGGATATTGAATGTATTTGAGCAATTACAGAACATAGTATATTTACTCATGCTAGTTTGTGACGCAATGTAAATTTTTTGTAAAACCACTGATCTCAATAATCAGACGTCTTAGAATGAAATTTAACACTGTATACACTGTATCATACACAGCTCTATTATTTAACAGCATTTTTCTTCTACGGAATTATTTCATTTAAAGCTTGATGGTCCAGAAAGTTTGCAGGAATTTAGGTTGCTGTAGATGTCTTAAAAATAAGTCAAAAAATGAGGTTCATACTTCAACGGTGATTTAGCTAAGGCCCTTTCTCTCACGCTCTCATTTTTTGCAGGAGTGGTATTATCTTCCAAGCAAATACGCTCATTATCAGCAAGAAAAATGTCCGTACAACACAATAAAATGATTTTCTATTGACTTAAGCAACAATTTGCAGATCTCAAGCTTTAGTGAGACATGCTGTTAGACAGACTGAATTCTGAAAGTCAAATGTTTGATCAAGATTGATGTTTTAGGAAATCAATTAAATTACATTCGTAGCAACTTTTTACAAAGTGTTGCGCTTAATTTCATATTGCTACAGCCAAGAAAAGAGCAAAGTTGCAACAGACCAAGTTAAGGAAGTAGCTATTTTCAAATTCTTACAATTCAATCAATAAGGAAACTAATTATTGTCATCTGGCGTTAATATGTCACGACATTTTATTTATTATCAGTTTTAATAAATATAAACAGACTAAAAAGAAAGAAAATAATGCGTTTACTCGATGCTGTCGTGATTTTTTTTCGTTCTACAAGTAGCTATTGATCTAAAAAACGCTGTACATTCAATTATTCTACAAAGCAGCTTGGAAAATTATCGAATAAAAAAATAGAAATTTTCCTATGTTAATTTACTGTGAGTCAACAAAGCTATTTGACAAGTAATACACTATTTGTTAAAAATTATGCATTCTCTTTTACTCGAAAGAAAAAATTTTTCAGAAAAAAAATCAATTGACTTACTTTGAGAATGGCTTTGATAAAAACAAGTGTTTATGAAAAAGAGCAAGAATAATATTTTGTAAAAATACTTTTCATCCATTATATGTCAATTCAGATCGAGTTGTCTTCTGTATTTTGCTGAGTTGTAGCAATACTAGCTATGTATAATGAAATCGACTTCAGGATTATGTTACTATTCAAATAGAAACTAGGTAATCCATAATCATGATTTTCTTTGGAAACAATTCACAAAAGGTCAAGTTTGAACTTGTTTAAGCATGTCAATATTAAAGGACAATGACAATGCTATCTCGTTTACACGAACGAAAAATTTGGATGGATCTGATCGTGACGAAACTTAAATTTTAGTTACAAGCTCATAAGAAATTTATGAACAAAACATGTTTTTCGACAGTTCAAATAAACGCATACTTTAACGTGCAGTACGGAAGGAGAAATGCTAACTTTACATTATTGCGCACAGTGTGAAGCCGAAGGCAAAGTAAATGACTTAAAATTTATTGACAACTCGTTGTTTATTCAGTTGAGTACGTCAATGTCAGACATATCAATTAAGTGAAACGATGTTCATCGCAGTAGACGATGAATTTCGACAAAGAATTTTTACGTCGTGTAAAGAGTCAAAGCTTTATTTAAATGGCCTATTCTATGGTATTGATAAAGGTATTTATGAAGGACGAGCCATATTTAGCTAGTTGCTCATATTGGTTTCATTTTGACATGCGCAATAAACCCATGATGTCATTGCGTACTATTCGAGTGCAATACTGTCCTTCAATATGATATTATTCTAGCCCGGAGCAACACTTCCAAGCGAGTACAGCTGGAAGAAATAATGTAAAATGGACTTTATAATCATCACAAAAGCTACTATAAACAATTTAATTAAGTCAAAATGCATTTAACACGTTGCATAGAGAAACTTAATTGGATTAATGATTGATCTAATTTTTTCTTGACATATTAATTAATGAGACTTGCTGATTAGTTTGTCTTTTATATAAGAGTTATTGTGCAAAAACAACAACTTTCACTTTGTTTAGATTTCAATCGAAGTTAATGAAAAGCAAGTTTTATAGTTTATGCTTTATTGATTGCGTTTATAAAATCACATTTTCATAATTTTACTGACGCATGATTCAAAATACGGTATATATAATCTCCTGCTTTGCAAAGTGTAAAAATATAAAAATCCGCTTTGGCAAATAATTACATTTGATAAGTATGGATGTTCAACAGTATTTCATGTCTCAATTATGTTCCACTTTCATTTTTTAGTCGACGTTGATCAATAATAAACTTAACAAACGAAATCAACTGTTAAAAACAAATTTGCTATACTGCATGGGAACAACAATCCGATTCCGCACCCAGCACCTTTTTCCCCTTCTCGTGAGTTTTTCAAAGACTTCAATTTTGATAGTCTTTGAAAAATTCACTAGTGCATGTTTTTCCCAAATTGCACTCGAAACCATGCTATTACATAAACAAATTGAGCAACAAAGTCAAACTATACCTATGCGACTATGTCATGCCTTGGGGGGTAAATTAATTTGTTGCATTTTGTTGCCTTCCTCGTTCAACGCTTAACGCAGCTTTACAACTTATATTTTGCAAATTTTCTAAGATTTTTATAACGAGTTCGAACTTTTGAATTTAGTCGACTTGTGCTTTAACCTACAGCAGAATATCTATAAAAAGTCAGTCAAAGAGATAAGTGAAGAAAATTGAGTAAAAACCTACCATACCTAGGGGCAATTTCATTTTATGCTAGAATTGTAGTTCAACACCTTTAAAAACCATCTGAATAAGTCGGCGTGCAAAAATGCTCTTGTGAAGGCCGACTAATAACTTTTACTGATAGCGTTTGGTTTGTTTTGAGAAGCGGCATATTTTAGAATAATTTTGCAGGAAGAGAAGTGAGACCATAGGCGGTCCAATAAATCACTTAGCTAGCTAAATTTTATAAACAAACGATAACTCGCCCCTTTTCATTATAACAGACCGTGCGCCGCAAACTTTGTATTAATTGATTATATATATAATCAATTACCTGTATATCCTGTGTCCTAAGTACAGGAGTCACCATTTTACTATGGTGATAGCCGGGAGGGCACATTGTTATACACTTTGTATATATATACATATATAGGAAGTTTTGTTTATTTGATTTTCCGTAATTAAACTGCTCGATGCGTTAGAGCAGAGCATAAATATTGATAAGAAAAAAATACACAAAAACTACAATTTCATCCCGACAAGCCTGTTTCGTGATTTCTCACTCTTCAGGGGATAATAATAAATGAATACAAAAGCATGTGTTGAACTATATATACGAGGAAGTTAGGATAAAAATTAAGGTAGAATCACAAAATAAGCTAGGTGTACGATTACAAATTGGATAAAAGTGCCTTGTGTCTATGGCGACAAGAGGAGACAAGTTCGTTACGTTTGTTGAGTGATGATAGTTGTGGTTGGTAGGTGATGAAGAACATCGTGATCGACGTTGTTGTCTTTTAGTGTCCATATGTGTTTACTGAGTTCGGTAGAGTTTCTTAATTTTTGTGTGGAAAGATGGTAAATTTCTTCTTACCTTACAATATTTTCATGATTCAATCTAGAAAGTAACTTCTCTTCTCGAGTAATTTTGCGATCAAACAGTACACTTTTTGGATTCAAAGGACTTCTTTTGTTCGCAAAGAGATCGTCACGCATTGTATTGCCTGGAAGAATATAGAAATACAAATTTGCTAGATTTCGGCATATATAACCATGGTTGTAAGAATGTAGAATTCGAGAGACACTGTAAGTTTAAGTTTAAAATAGTGAAGGGAATGCTGAAGGTGTTGTACTGCTTAGAAGAATATAGAAATATAAATATGCCAGTTTTTGGCATATATAACCATGATTACAACCCTACATCACACAAAGCCACCACAATCAGAACATTAACAAGACGTGCACAAATCATATGTGATTCACCGGACGCTGTACACAACGAAAACAACTATCTCAAACGTGTTTTTCACAAAAACAACTATAACTCTGACTTTATCAAACGCAACACTTACAAACCCAACGAACCCAACGAAACGAACAACTCAGTGACAACAGCAACGATACCTTACATCAAAAGTACGTCTGAGACTATCTCGCGTATCTTACGACCATACAACATACGTGTCGCAAAACCAATCACAACGTTACGACAAGTACTAACGAACATAAAAGACAAAGAACAACCCAACGAACGACAAGGTGCAGTTTACAAAATAAACTACTCCGACTGCCACGCCTCCTATATCGGGGAAACTGGCAGGAACTTAAACATAAGACTTACTGAACACAAACGAGCTACTACGAAATAAGACAAAACTAATCACATTGCTGAACATCACCGAATCACAAAGCACAACATTGACTGGGACTCGGCGAAATGCATTACTTACAGTACTGACTATAGACAGTATATCTACAACAAAACAGTCAACAACAACAAAAACAGTCCTTCTCAGGACTATACCAACCTGGACGATCTACATTTACAAACATATAACCATGGTTGTTATAATAGTTTCTGCAAAGATAACATGTAATAAGCCAAGAAATTTGTATCGTCTAAATTGAACCTCGCTTTGAATCATTATGTTATAAAATTTTGATTCATTTTGGATGATAAATTTCTTCTTATCTTACATGATTTTCTTGATTCAATCTAGAAAGTAACTTCTCTTCTCGAGTAATTTGCAATTAAACAGCACACTTTTCCGATTCAAAGGAATTCTTTTGATCGCGTAGAGAAATCCGTCCAATTTATTTCGTATCTAAGCATGTACAAAGCATTTCAAAATCAAGATGCGATATCTTGCAAGATATTAGGCAAGATTTTACTCATGAACTTACTTTTGAACTTATAAGTCCAAAACGAGCTTTCAATGTATCCAAATGCCAAACTCTTTCTCCTTGACAATAGTTGACTTTTTAAAGAAAACACCTAAAAAATGCAAAAATAGAAAACCAAAAAATGTCGAAACGCGATTGGCGAAAATTAGAGAAAATAGCAAATAATAAGTCTTTATATATATTTATTGAGCTAAACGAAAATTTTTCACATTATTTTTCTACCTGTGAATGAATGTGAACTGATTGTTCCACAATCTCACGGAGAATAAGCCACATTCTCTGTTGGTCCTTGTACTATTCCTCCTCAATAGCATTCTTTAAGGTACTCTTCTCACAATACTCCTGTATATAAAAGTTTGCAGAGTATGATTTGCAAATTTCTTTTGGTGATTGCTTTCTCTTCACTTTCGACATCAGTTTCCGTCGTCCTAAAGGAAAGACACAGGTAGTTATTTTTACACATTTTTAGCAACATCATGAACAGTCCTCACTACTATATACCACGTGAGCCAACGAAATTCAAAACTGTATATGCGATTCATCGATATTTTTTTGAACATATCTTCAGTAGACTCCGTGTTATAAATGGTTTTTGCAATCGAGCCTCGTCTACGCTAGAGCTTTTATCGCCGTCAACATGCTTGGAATCATTCGTGTTTTCATTGATCAACGAGTCCTCATTCAAAACTCTCTAGCGTACGCTAAGTGCTTGAACTACGTTCAATTTCATCAAGCTATCGTCAACCTGGCGTCGTCGTTTCGTCTCTGTCACTATTGATTTTGTTTCACTGTTGGAAGTTTCATTTTCAAGTATTTCTTCTGCCTCAATCCACGAATTATAATATCTGTCATAAATATTAAAGGATTGTTTATGCACAAAATATGCAGATACAAAGTTATGTAGAAAACGAAAAACATCTTTAACATTGTCAAAGATATTAGGAGTGGCGTAACAAAGTGTTTATGACTTTGACATGCATTTCTCAAACAAGCTTAAAAAGACAAACAGCGTGTCAAAAATATTTGATTGAAAATTTGCTAAGCGCATTTATAAGCAAAAATTTTCGAGAATTAATCTTAGCATGCGTAGTCTACTGCACGAACTCTTCACGTTCATGGTCATGTTAACGACCAAGGGCATGCATTAGTACCGATTATGGAGTAATTAGCTCGTTCTGTAACAAATTTTCAGATAAAT